CGCAATTTGTATTGAGTGATGCCTGGTTACAGAATTTGCACTGTTTGGCAACTGGCTGTTAATTTACTCTTCTACCGTGGGCGTGGCTCTGTAATAGAATACTGGGCTAGCCACGTAGCAAGAAGACCCAGTTTCGAACCCGATTCCATATCCCGGATACATTTCTTAGTTGTTTTTGTTTTTCTCAAGCGGTAGCAGTTATGAACACCGGCGGTAGCGGTGGACAACTATGGCGCCAAAAACAGCCCCTGTGATCTCACAGCGTGTAGCTGTCAAAATGCAGCTACAACTCTGCATGTATAATGGAGTGCTTAACGTATTACATGTTCATAGAACACCATAGATTAACAAAAAAAAACAAAAAAAAACAGTTGTGATTTCAATAAACTAGATACAGTAAGTACGCTAAAACATTCGCTATTTCAATAAATCGCAGATACATCAGTTTCTTGCCTATAGGCAAATAGATTGAAGCTATTACGGGCATCTGGGGTGAAATGGTACCAAACAGGCAGTTGTTTGCTGACGAACACTCCTCACAAAGCATGCATCGCATGGCAGAGTGTGGCAAACACTGCACCAGTAGACCGTTGTAGTAATGCGAAATGTAACGTTTTCTTGGTTATCTTGCGAGAAATCACCATAAGCGAGAAAAAGGGCATTTCTGCTTGTTTGGCATACCACAGATTAAGAAGAAATTACCCTCAACATACTGAAAAAAAGTGCAGTACGAGGCTTCGAGAGGCATGGCATACCACAGAATAAAGAGAAGCCGTCGTCAGCATACTAAAAGAAAGTGCAGTACGAGGCTTCGAGAGGCATGTCTAGGAACCACGAATAGAGAGACCACCGGAAATGTGAAATTGTCTGGGTGCTCACAATTTTATGTGCGAGTGCACGCTGGATCTATCTATCTATCTTAGAGAGACTAAAGAAAGGCAGGAGAAGTGACGGTGAGTATTCAGAAACGCTCCTCGACTCGACCTTCATTCTTCACTTGACAGGGTTGAGCACTGCGCCGCTGCTCGGCTGAAAATGATGCTGCGCTACTCAAGAATCGCAGCAGAATTATCGCTGATATGCAGTGACTTGCCGCGCCTAGAAACGGCGTTCCCATCGTTTTTTTTTTTTTTTTCAAGTGAAGGTGAAGCGTTGAGTGAATGGACGTTTTAGAATACGGGGGTATGTGTAGGGTAGTGACAACCACTATTCGGCATCGACCAAGGGCTACCTTGGTTGTAGCCTCGGTGGTTGTGCAAGGTTGTTCTTACTGCTCCACAAACCCTGAAAGGCCGCATTTTGGAGCATTGTTGGAGCAGTCTGTCTAGCTTTAACGAAAAGTAGTACGTAGTAGTAAATGGAGCGGTATTCCCAACGCTGCCCGAATGTTTTATGGGCAGCAATTTATGGCGTGGCGAGTATTACACCTAGCTATAGTATACGCTGCAAAGACCCGAAGAGAAACTAGCACAATTAAGAGGAGCTGTGCAAATAGCAAAACTATGGGTTATGGTGACCCCGCTACTAACTGTAGCGGATGATCACCGCGGGTTCACGCTTAGCGAGCCACAGGGCCGCGACTCCGTCACCTACTCGCGTGTAGCGCACCGCTCCGCGCGCGCTCAACTAACAAGGCGTTTAGTGCGGCACGGCAAAACAGACAGGGTACAGAAATACACCAACATTTTATTGCCTTTGGCGGCACCCCGAGCAACAGTACAACGTCCGCTCCCGGGACGCGGAGAGCAAATGCTCCAGCATGCGGACGTTCACGATAAGGGGAAACCGCGAGCACTTCGCAGCTGGCAATGGCGAGCTTTGACACGCCGGTCGGGAAAAGGTCCCTCGCGGCTGTGCTGCGCACTCTCACGATGGCCACTGGGCCTGGTCGCGAGTGTTATGGCAAACCTCGTACGCGTGGGCCTACGGCAATTGCGGCTCGGTGTGGTACGACCCCTTCAAGCACTAGGCACCGCTGTGGGCTTAGCGTACGCTACCGAAGCTAGCACTCAAACAAACACGCCTGCCGAGGCGCCAAGGCCATCCCAGGCAGGCTACAGTCCGGCGATTCCCAAAGGGGACGCGGACGAAGGAAACACGTGCTAACCTAGCGCCGATGGATGGATGGATGTGGCTGTACCCTTTAGATCGGGCGGCGGCTAGCGCCACCTAGCCGTAATACTTAGTGAACTAACTATTAGATTTATCTTTTTTTCCTTTAAATAGTGAGGTTGAGGATTCGTACTTTGCAGTGAAGGGTTTAATTTTCACTCGTGCCTTGACTTTAGCCACCAATCAGATAACCTCCTTCTAGTTAAGTCTACCGCTTAAAGTCTATTTTGCCCTCCCTGTCCCTAAACCACAGTGCTTTGAAAACCTCTGCCCCATCATCCTGAACTACAGGGTGAAGCCCTTCACAGAAAATTATCAAGTGTTCGGCAGTTTCTTCCTCTCCACACGCACTGCATACCGTGTCTACCCCTTCGTATTTGGCCCGATATGTCTTGGTTCACGATACTTCCGTCCTGGCCTCAAACAGTAGAGAATTACCCCGAGTATTATCATAGATCCCTTCTTTGGCAATTTTCTGCTTAAAAGTTCGATAGATCTCAAGTGCGGACTTCTTAATCATACCAATTCTTCGCATGTCAGTCTCCGTTTCCTTCACTTCTTAACCGATAGTTCTTTTTGGTTTGGTCACCTGCTGTTTTCTAAGTATTTACCAGTCAATTTCCTGGTTCAGTTCCTCCATTTTGTATCGACTTTCTTCATGTACAAGTAGCTGAAAACCTTCCTAGCCCAATTCTCCTCCCCCATTTCTCTCAATCGCTTCTCAAATTTTATCTTGCTGCTAGCTTCCCTGCCCTCAAATGATGTCCATCCCATATTACCTTGTACTCCCTGATTTGGTGTATTCCCGTGAGCTCCTAAAGCAAGCCTACCTATTCCACATTGCTTAATTTCTAATCTTGCTTGAACTTCTGATCTCCTGCACAAGACCGCATTGCCGAACGTCAGCCCAGGAGTCATGACCCCTTTTCATATTCCTCTCACAACATCATACCTATTGTAACTCCACAGTGCCCTATTTTTCATCACTACTGCATTCCTGTTACCTTTAGTCGTCACGTATATTTCATGTTCCCCTAGGCACTCGGTCCCATTGCTTATCCATACGCCCAGATATGTGTATTTATCTGTTATCTCAAGCGTGACCTCCTGTATTCTAAGCTCACTACCTTTGTTATCATTAAAAATCATGACTGCTGATTTTTCCTTACTGAATCTAAAATCTAACCTATCTCTCTCAATACCACAGATGTCCATCGATTTCTGCAAATCTTCCTTGTTGTCGGCCATTAGCACTACATCATCTGCGTACATCAATGCTGGTAGTGCCTGTTAAATGAGTTCTTCTTGTTTGATTAAAGAGAGGTTAAATCCAAGTCCACTTCCCTCTAATTTGGCCTCTAATCCTTGTAAGTACATCATGAATAACAAGGGTGACAGTGGACACCCCTGCCTAAGTCCCCGTTTCACCTCTGTGGACTTGGATACCTGTTTTTGCCTCTTTATAACTACCTTGTTACTTTTATAGATTTCCTTTAAAAGATTAGTGACTCTATCTTCCACACCCAGAGCATCTAGTACTACCCACAAGTCCTCTTGAACCGCGCTATCATACGCTCCCTTGATATCCAAAAATACTAGCCACAGGGGCCCGAGTTCCTTTTCTGCTATTTCGATGCACTGCGTCAGTGAGAACAGATTGTCTTCCAACCTCCTGTGTTTCCGAAACCCATTCTCCAGTTCCCCAAGCACCCCCTCATCCTCTATCCATGCCTGCAGTCTTTCCTTTATAATCTGCATCGCCAGCCTGTAGACCACTAATGTCACTGTTATAGGACGGCAGTTGTTTATGTCAGCTTTGTCCCCCTTTCCTTTATAGATCATGCTCATCCTGCTAAGTTTCCATCCATCGGGGACTTCACCATCGATTATTGTTCTGCTCACTGCCTCTCTCAGAGTCTGTTTAGACTTCGGACCCAATGTCTTTATCAGCATAATTGGAATGCCATCTCGGCCTGTTGATGTACTACTTGGAACCCTCTTCTCAGCCCTTTCCCACTCTCGTTGTGAAAATGGAGCCATTGTCCCACTTGATCCATACCTGTTTATTGTGGTGCATAAGGCACTTCTTTGTTGAAAATTTTCTGTCAACCTTGTTCTTGTGCATCCCTGCTTGACTCTTTGCCAACCCATGCTCTTATGTATGAATGCACCAATTCCTCTTATGTATGAATGCACCAATTCCACCCCCTTTTTGCTGCCTTCTGTTCTATTGCAATATTCCCATAAGTAGTCTGGATTGCAAGGTAGTTGCTCCATGTCCCAAAGATGTCTCTCCACAACCCCATATATTATCAGCTCCTCCTGCCTCAACTGCTCTTCTATCTCTTCCCACTTTAACCTATTCCTGCCACCCTGCATGTTAATATAGCTTACGTCTGACTTAGCTCGGCCCTTGTGCTTACGACGATTTCTTCTCCCGCGTATTCCGTGGGAGAAGAGAGCGCCCCTCCCGGCGCGCACGTGACGCCATCTATCACCACGTGCCCTTGCTAGAGCAATGGGAAAGAAACACGGAGAGCGGCCGTACGGCGGAATGCCCACGAAATGGTCGCGGGCGCGCCTCAGATTCCCACAGGGTGCAAAACGAATTCAATTATTGAAGTGTGAATGCAAATTTAATCGAATATTTTTTGAATAATTCCAAACACTTTGAAGCGAGACAGCAGAAAAGAAACTGGGAGGATTTTTAAGCATAATTAATGATGAGTGCGAACGAGCACAACTGATAAGAGTGGACAGAAGAGAGGACTACAGTCTTCTAAGCATATTCTTATCAGATAGCAGCATGAAAGTGTTTCGTCTCGCTAGCTTGACAAACTGTTGGTGCGGTGCTGTTTTGTGGTCGTCTTATCAAGAATGAGGCAATGCACAGGCCAAATCATATTTATGTACCTGATTTGATGCAGACAAAGAGTTTCCATCAACACTTTACACATAAAAGGCAAAGATGCCATTTCTTCAGCCTCCCCTCCTTTTCATACTTTTCTGGAAGCCCAAATCATGTGGCAAACAAGAGCGGGCTCACTTTGAGGGCAGAGTTCCAAATCTGCGTCCTAGACATCAACATATACAAGCGCGCCTGAAATTTTGGATGCTAAAAGCTTCCTGCATACTATTTTTCGGACTTCCTGTTTAAATTTCAGATCCAAAACAGTGTTAATTGAGCCTCACCTCTGCCACATATATAATCTCAATGTTGGAATGGGCGTTTTCTTTCAGCCAATATATTTGAGACTGTGCTTAAGCCTGAATGGCAGCTTTGCCGCAATAAGTGTGATGGGGTGAAGCATATTAAATATCTGAAGAGGCCACTGTTAATTGGACGTTGAGTGCACTTATCTTCGGGAAGTTCGAATAGTAAAATTCTGGTGGGAATCGAATACCAAAAACACTCTTTAAAAAATATTCAAAATTTCGCATGAATGCAGACCTTTACAATTAAGTGTAGCAGTGGCACTCGCGAGTAGTCTTTCAGAATGTGAAATTTTATGCATGGCAGTTGCACAGCCCGGTGCAAAGAATAAACACAAAAAGGAATGCAAGCTGTGCGTGTTTTTCTTTTCTTCATTTTTTTATCGAAACAGTCTTCAATTCCACGTGGCAGTGCTGTGGGCACTCGTTCACATCTGCAGACCACTCAAAGTCCGGTACAACTGGAACGGAGAAATGGAAAAAAAAAAAAAAAAATCGCTTATCATGAATGCAATTGAAACAACTTTCAAACAACTACATATTTCGAACGGTTAATGCAAAAAAAAATTTCAATCTGTGCAACCTTGAAACTGCAAGACATTTGAGGGTACCACAGTGCAATTAAAAAAAGGCAACGGTGCCACTGGACTGACCTGAGCACCTCCTATGATCACCCAAATGTATTTATAATGATGCTGTGGAGCAAGCATACCACAGAATAAAGTCTTTTTTGCAAGCCTTTTTTTAACGATGGTTTCACAAAAACGGCACTATAGAAGTTTCCTGAGCTCATATGATGGGAGACAAATGCCCGCTGGCCATAGAAACAAGTGACTGCCATAATTAAAATCAAATTGTGACATTTTATGTGCCAAAACCACAATGATAGCTCAAAGAATAAGTGTGACCACCTAGGGTTCTTCAAATCACACCTAGGTCTAAGCACATTAGTGTTTTTTATGCATTTTGACCCTGTCAAATTGCGGCGATTGTTCCCAGGAGTTAGGCCGCAGCCTCGGCAGTGCAATATCGTAGTCATTGAGCGACCACCAGAGATGCCAGAGGAATACAGGCAAATTTTGTTAAACAAAACACGCTCAGGGACTAGGAAATTTTTTTTGGATTTAACAGGAGTTCCACTTAATTAATGAGAGATGAACAGGGGTGAAAGAATTCAACTACAAAACCAATCATATTAGATGCAGTTATTCCGTTTAAGGCAGCAATATCACTTACAAAGATTACCGTTCACTGATAGTCTACAGTGCTAACTGTGGACAGAAAGTACAAGTGTTCACACCGATTTTCAAAGTCACGCTACTTAGAGCTGCACCATCCGATCAAAGTAGCAAGAAGTAAGACAATACCAATGTTGCCAAGATGTGCTAATATATACAAAAAAAGCTATAGGTGTCAATTACACTCAAACCTCAATATAACAAACCCTGATATAAATATATTTTTTGGTTATAACAAAGTAAATGAAGAACACTCTTGCAATAGATACAGTGTTAAGAATGTACATTTATATCGAATTTTCGGATATAACAAACTTATTTTCGTGTAAGATACTACTTTGTTATAATGAGGTTTGAGTGTAAATAGAATTGAACTGGACCTTAAAACTCTGGTTGGTTACGTACTGAAATTTTGACAACCGGCCAGGCTGGAAAAACCAAAATGTTTGTTGCCAAGCCGAGCAGTGTTCACAAAAAAAGAATGCAGCGCTTATTTCGCGAGGCAACATTTGCGTTGGGAAGTAACGCTGACACGTTACCAGAACGGCAACTCGTCAATGCCACATGCTCAACGAATTCATTTGCCACGATTGTAACACCAAGCATTCGTTGTGGAATGCCTGGATGACTTGACCGTGGATGCCGGTGCTGTAAGCTTTTTTGAAGAATGTGAAAGCTCTTAGCTCAATGTCATACAAGTGCAACGTCGACTGAATTCACTAGCGAGCTGAAAAAGGGCCTGCTCAATAAGGCAGAAAGCTCGCTTCAAGACCAACAATAAAGCTTAGAGATCTGCCTTCAACAAGCACATAAAGTAAAAAAAAAAAAAAAACATTGTAGACTTTTGATCTTCTTATCAAGTGAAAAAATTGTGCTGTTTTATACTTTACCAAACCCAACCGAGCAGACCATCATTTTAGTAACCAACAAGTAAAATATAAATACAAAAGTTTTTAGATGCAGTGTTTTATTTTATTTGAGGCTAATAATAAACTTATGCAACATTCCTTCAAATAATTTTCTGGGAAAGTTTGAAGACAATCAGTTTCTGAAATTTCTCTGTAAAGAGTATCAATGGCTTCAGCATGATCCAATAAATTTATTAATTAAAATCTGCACCCGGTAACCAGAACTGTGAGACTTGAGTTGACACCCAAACGAGTTTTCCTGGAAATGATCTTCAAAGATGAAATGATGAAGTCGGTATTATTGAATTTCTCGACTTGTGCAGAAGCCACTGATGCTACCTATTTTAGTAACATGTCAGAAAGCGAGCCTGTTCAGCAGACGTTCGTACAGCATCAAAGTTTGGATTGGCTTGGCTCACCTCCTCAAACTTGTGGTACTGGCGGATGTAGAAGTCACCATAGCGCCTGGCCACCTTGGTGTCAGCTATGTGTATCATGTCCTGCAAAGGAGACCGCAATCAGACATTGCATAGCAATGTTTGTACAAGCTATTAACACTGTATGTCAAATATCCGTAAAACTAGTGAGATCACGGTAGTCTGGCATGAAAAAATTGTTGAGGTGAATTGTTAGAGAAAAGGCATGGGTGAATATTCAAGCTCTTCAAACGCTTGCCGAATACTCGAACCTCATTATAACAAACTTGCATCTTACATGAAAATAAGTTCGTTATATCCAAAAATTCGTTATGAAGGTTTATTTTTAACACTAAATTTATTGCGAGACAATTCTTTGCTTACTTCGTTATAACCGATATTTCATTATATCCAGATTCGTTACATCGAGGTTTGAGTGTATTACTGTATCTGAGCTCGCTTCTACACGAATCCCAATTATTTGCAATTTGGAAGCATTCAAAACGAACAAATAGACATCCACTATGCTGCACAAAAACACCCCTGAAAAGGTGGTTTTACTGCAGCATGAGGGTACTATGTTGTGAAACCACTAACCTCCAAGGCAAATCTACACTGTCAAGAAGCCACACATTCAGGTTAATTAAATGTGCATATTACGCACACCAACTCAGATATTTGTAATATGTGCCTGCGCACATACTTGATGGGAAGTTACATAACTACGCATGCAAATTCTTCCAACCTCATGTGCCTTCCAATACCCACTGCCCCAAAGTTTGTGCTCCGCGAGCAGGCACAATCAAGCAGTCTGGCACGAGCTTGCGGAATCTGCAAGAACTGTGTCCACACCTGTGCATACGATCGTGTTGGTCGCCGTACTAAGGCACCAGCCGTCAAGAAAGCTTGGTGCCAACTCTCTGGGGCGACCTTCGCAATGGCAGACTTCACAGGTGGATCACCAGAACGGTGACTCGCCAGTGAGACACAACCAAAGGGACTGATCTTCCACAGACGTAACTCCGAATGTGCAAGTTGACACATTCAGATGACTTGACCGTGGTGAATGTAAGCTGCATGCCGTTCCCAGGTAAGTGAAACGCAACAGAATTTCAGTAATTGGCAATGAAGCCAACACTTGCAAGGGCCAATAAAGAGAAAAAAATTATGTTTCTTGTATTAGAAAGTTTCAATTTCACAATACCGAACAGCACTCTGATCTTGAAAATGTGGTTATTAAGCACAGAAAAATAAAATACATGTGATGAAGACACCCATTTGTAACATGCATTTTTCGTGGCAAGAGTAGTGCTATTGGTATTGCAAAACAGTAATCACACCTTTAATAATTACACATTCAATTTAAAATTGCACCTTTATATTTGCAGGGTTTTTCATACCAAAACCACAATATGATTACGAGGCATGCCATAATGAAGAGCTCCGGATAACTAGATCGTCTGATGTTCATCAACGTGCAGTGCTATCGCACAGTACACGGCCATCTGGCATTTCTGGCTCCATCGAAACTTGACCACCGTGGTTGGAATCGAGCCCGCGACTCTCACGTGAGCAAACGAGCACTCTTTAAAATCACTGCGCCGCCATGACATACCTGCTCACACATTCCGCATTGCACGAAATTCTAATGTGACATTGGAATCATCCAAAACTTAGGCGAAGACACTAAGGTTCACACTTGCAGCCAAAGACACATTGAATTTGAAGAAGTGGCAAGTTCTCACACTCACCCTGTCAATGAAGAAGTCGACATCCGAGCCTGACTGGAATTCACCATCCAAGCTGCTCGAGCCTTTGGTCCAGACGACGTTCTTCATTTTGTGCTGCGACAATGAACAAGCGGGCAAAGACATTGCTTCAAAAACCAACAACAAAAGTGCAAGAGCTCAAACAACGAAACGTGCCATGCCAAATGGTGCAAAGCAAGCTATTTTAACCGCAATGCAAATTTTTTGGGGTCCCTGACTTTTTTTTTGGTTGGTACCGATCGTTCAAGTTGAAAGTACAGTCACCGATCATGCCCCTATTAGCCCCTACACAATTCTACGCAGCTTACTACGCCATAAGGTCAATCTGCCAACCATAAGGCCTAACAGTAGACAGTCCATTAACAAGAGGCAGGCACAGAAATGGCAACCAACTAACCTAGAGAATTAGTGAATACTAAAAGCTCAAATACCGCAATGACGTGCGCATCAGCTTTGACTCTGCGCTATTAACCGACAAGAAATTGCTTACCTAATTGCTAACTGTATACAACCAACAAAGGTCTTACTTTTCACTATTGCTTTGTTGCTGCAAAATTTCACTCATATGACCAATATTTCAAACAATAAATTCTACTTGTAAGTAGCATCCGGTTCCATTGACTTATCTGCATCCTGCTTTTCACCCAAGAATAAACGACCAAGTCGCCCAAGCTTGATGGCCATGGTGAACAGCGAGTTGGCCTCGAGGTAGCTAATTTTGCTTCTAGAGATAGCTAATTTTGCTTTTGTTCTGGAGTAAAGAAAAGACTTCAAGCATGACAAACAGTGAATGAAGGGGCACTGGTTAGTCTAAGCACAGTGTGATTTTTTTCAACGTAAGCCACTGTACTCACCTTGAAGCTGAGGAGGTGACAATGGAAGTTTCTAGTCTTTATCTGCACAGACAAGAGGGAACAGTCAAGCATTTCCTTTTTATTGATCCTTCTTAAGTCTGGTGTAATTAACATCAGTACAATCTTCAACTAACAATTTGGGTGCCGATTGACACGACTGATTATTTCCAAGCATTTCCTTTTTACTGATCCTTCTTAAGTCTGGTGTAATTAACATCAGTACAATCTTCAACTAACAATTTGGGTGCCGATTGACACGACTGATTATTTCAATAACTCTGTGTTAAGTACACTTGCCCGTGGGATCAAAATGTTTAAGGACAACTAAAATATCGCATAATATGATTCTCAAAGTCATGTTTAGCATAATCCGTGCTTTACAACCACATGGTCACCATGAACTTGACAGAAATAACAATACCTTAGCTTTGTGACGTTACTGGTGGCTCTTCAACAAAACTACTAAAGTCTGCAGTGCTTTAGACAAATATCTACCGTATAAATTGGAATATAGGTCGAGATATATTCAATAAAACAACAAGCTAAAGTCGCCCCTCGTCTTATATAGCAGTGTCTAGCCGACAGTGCACCACTATCTGGCAACATGTGGCTTGCATGTGCATGAGAAGCTGGACACGGCCATATTCGCGTTCAAATCCAATAGTAGCGTGTTTTTTTTCGCTCTTGTCTGTTTTTTTGTGTTCGTGATTTGCCTCTGATCTGTTCCAAGTTCTTGCTCTGCTTAAGGGGGGACGTGGGTTCTAAATTTTTTTTTTTTTAGTGTTTTGCTCAATTTTAACCAAACTTCACTACCTAAGCTAGTTTTTCATGCTGATTTCAAATCTCTAATTTGTTTCTTAATATTTCAAGTGGTTTAGAAAATATGAAGGTCTGAATCTGAATTATTTGCATACTTCTTGGCAATTTATTCTTGCTAAATTCAAAAAGTGAATGCATAATCCCAATGACGGAGACTTGCTGTAGGGGGTGATGCTATTTTTATCCATTTGAAGGCATTTTATAAGCAAGAAAACGGACGAACACTTATGGTCACTATATTACAATAAATTTCTCACTAAAATCTTCAATGGTAATTTTTGAAGTGATGCTAGAGAAATAGAAATAGCATCATCCCATAGATCATGTCAAGACGAATAAAATGATACCAACTTTGTCGCATTCACTCAAGTTCAACATAGAAAAACCCCCGTAAGGCTGAGTGCAATGTGCGAAAACATCGAACTGAAAAAACGCGTTTGAAGTTTCTAGCAACTGTAACTTTTGCTAAGGTGAAGCTACAGCGATATTAATGACATCATTCTGTAGTTCCATATTATAAGATAAATGGCCATGCTAAATTTCACTGTACCCACCCGAAATACTGCTCACAGCTTGTTCTAGAACTATAAAATAGTCATTGACTCAGCATGAGAATTATTATTTTTTTACTTTGTGGTCATTCCAGTGCCTTGCAAGCGAAAGGAACACAAAAAAATCATGTAATAATGTGGTCCTTGGATAGACAACATATTTACACAATGTTTAGATCTAAAACCAAAAATATTTAGTGTTGCGAAAATTCTCACTATTTGCCATCATGACTGTTTACAGCAGACCAGGGCTGTAAGCAGAGTCCCCTGCTGGCTTGTGACGCTTTGAAAGTCTTTCCTTTATTGAACTGCTGTCGAGATGCTCTCTTTGCGATTTTTGCAGCCTGCCCTTGTCCTTCCTAAGGCTGCGACACACCAAGTCATTGCCAGCGCTGTAGCCCAGCTTCTCGGCAATTTCCACGTTGCTCTTGGTTGTGCCTTGGTTGAAGCGGCTGATGGCTTCGGCAACTGCCCTTTCAATGCTCCGCAAGGATGCATGCCGAGTTTTGGGGGCCTGCTGCCAAATCATAGCGTGCAGGCTCTCACTTGGGTTCTGGGTGATCCCATCGCTGCACCTTTCCAAGAGGGCATTGTCGCTCAGCCGCCTAAACACAGGCTCCAATGGCTCAGTTACGAAATCAGGCAGGCTGTCCTTGTGTGGTGGCGGCTTCTCATTTTTCGCAAGAGCTCTCTGAAATTTGCACCAGGATTCAGGGCCTTCAGGGCAAAGTTCATGCTTTGGTGCCTCGTCAGTTGAAGACATGTGGTTCAATCAAAGTTGCTAGAACAGCCTTATACATACCTGGAACATCGTTCCTGTGGCTTCTCAATGCGTTCTCAATCTTTTGTTGCGTAAGTCTGCCCTTTCCACCAAGTGAGCCACCTTGAGCTTTTTTTTTTCTTTAGAAGGGTACATAAGGCAGCTCCCATACGCTTGTGTACATGTTTTATGCAGTCCTTTTGGCCACCTTTATGAAGCCGTACACCTCTTTTTCTGTGAGTGCATGGAATGTCCTGCTGTCGCCGTCCAACAGCATTGTCGTATAACAAAGCTTGTGCTTTTCAAGTGACCGCTCAAACAAGCGTAGTGCTGCCTCCACTTCCATCTGGCCAGCATTACAATCAACATTCTTCAGGCACAGAGGGGCATGCTGAATGAGCCAGGCAGAATGTCCTGCTTCTCCTTCCTTGGGTCCTGTGGTGCAAGCCAGGCAAAAGTTAGATAGCACGATATGGTCTATCACGAGGCCACTGTACATCTCAACAATGCAGCCAACACACATATGCGAGCTATGTCCACGCATAAGCCAGGTGCCATCATAAATGACGTCGACGTTTCCGGACGCGTTGCCGAACTCCGCATGGAGCTCCTTGACGCGAGCAACGCTCGCCGCTTCGCACTCGGCAGCAGTCGCACAGCAGGCTTCTTTTATTATATTCATGTGGCTTTGGTAACTTGTGGTGAAGCCCTCGATGCGAAATATTCATCCCAGCGAAGAAGTCCGATAGAACCGTTGCCCCCTTGCCGATACTGTTGATGGCCTTCATGGCACGCATATTAACTTCAAACGACCTTATTTTGGCGTCGGTCTCGTCCGCTATATGTGGGGACGAAAAACGCTCTTCGCGAAAGTCACAACTGCCGCATGTGACTATGAGCTTCGAACACAGCCCGTACTCTTTCTTGGCGTTTGAAATAGTGACGCTTCTTTCACTGCATTCTGGGCATGCGACAAGTCTAAATATTGCTACCTGTAGGCTGCCACAAACCATAGTGCGAATGCGCGTGTGCGCCCGACGAAGAAGAGGAGGCTCGCTGGCTGCTCGAGCTCGGAGCCAGACTGGCCAGTGCTGCAACCGCTCTTGCAAATATATTTTTCGAATATATTCGCAATACTTTGTCTCGTTACTCACGTAACATATTTGGTGGAGGTGGAACGATCCCCGTCCTCACCACGCAGCTCCGCAGTGGCCGCATCCTCCAGCTTCCCGCCATGGCTTCCAGTGACAACGCGTCCGCTTCATCATCTGCGGCTTCTCCGACAACCTTTGTCGCCGTCCAAACACCACGTGATCCCGGGACATTTTCTGCGCAACCTGGCCTCGACGTCGACAAATGGCTTCGCCTTTATGAACGGGTCAGTCAAACTCACCGTTGGGACCCTACCATGATGCTCGCTAATGTTCTCTTCTACTTGGACGGAACCCCGCGTGTCTGGTACGAGACAAATGAGTCCGAACTCACCAGCTGGGACACGTTCAAGGAGAAGCTACGTGACATCTTTGGGGACCCGACCGGTCGCCACGCAGCTGCACGACAGGAGCTGGCTACCCGTGTCCAGTCGCCAACTGAATCGTATGTGTCATACATCCAAGAAGTTCTCGCTCTTTGCCGAAAAGTGGACGAGGCGATGTCTGAGGCTGAAAAGGTTGGACACGTTTTGAAGGGGATCGCGGACGACGCCTTCAATTTGCTGGTGTACACTAACGTCTCGACCATCGACCGTGTAATTCAAGAATGCCGCCGTTTCGAAACAGCAAAAAGCCGTCGGGTGCGCCCTCCTTTTTCTCGGTTGCCAAACACGGCGGCTACGTCCACCTGCTCCGATTCTACCGTCACACCGCCCTTTGAGCAGAGTGTAACGCGTATCGTTCGACGGGAACTTGAAGCAGCCAGTCCAGCGCCGCTTCAGCCCACTTCTTTCGAACATACGATACCGACAACCCCCGCGATCTCCGTTATTCAGGCGGTCGTACGACAAGAATTCGCCAACCGCGGGTTCCCTGATGCTTGCCCCATCTCTTGCCCCTCCTCCAGACCAATTCCCACTAATGCACCTCGACGTGACCCATTTGTTGCTCCACGATCTCGCAACCCGGCGGAATGGCGAACTCCTGACGACAAACCGATCTGCTTCCGGTGCCACCGCGTTGGACATGTCTCCCGCTACTGCCGTGCCTCCTGGACGCCGCCACATAGGAGCCAGTTTTTCGCACCTTATAGCCCATATGAAGATCTTCGCCGGTATTCGTCCAGCCGTACCGCCCCTGCTTTCGACACGTCTAACAGCCGCCTTCCTGCTCGTTCTCCGTCCCCTCAACGCCGTCGTTCCCCGTCGCCCCAGCCACGCCGCCATCACTCGCCGCCTAACTTTTCATCGTACCCGACGGAAAACTAGACAGTGCAGCCCCTGGAGGTAGTGCTGCATCATCCCTGTCTGAACCAAACCCTCCATTGACGCTTCATACGAACAAAAATCTTGTCGATGTACACGTGGACGGTATTTCTCTGTCGGCACTAGTCGATACTGGCGCTCATGTATCCATAATCAGCGTTCATCTTTGTCGCCGCTTAAGAAAAGTACTCACGCCCCCTGCTACCGAAGCTGTACGTGTGGCCGATGGCGGCACTGTTCCTGTCATTGGCATGTGTACGGCTCGCATACGCATCGCCGACCGTTACATCCCTGTTCTATTCACGGTGCTCCAGAACTGTCCTCATGACCTCATCTTAGGGATGGACTTCCTGTCGACCCATTCTGCTCTGATCGACTGTTCCGCTGGTACTCTTTGCTTAGACCTTCCTCTTCAGCCGGATATTCACCCTGAACCTCAACACGGCCTTTCTGCCACAGACTTCCTCCGCTTACCGCCTAAAGCCCTCACATTCAC